TAACAGTTAACCAAGCAAAATTAATCCAAGCACTCATACTTGTTAATGGACTTTACCATCTCGAACCCTTGATTATCCGTTAAGTCCTCGTCTCTACTCCCTATTTCTCTCAAATAATGACTCAATAACAACAACATTATATACATGTATACATACACATACACAAACACAAGAACTGATCAATTTCTATAAATAAATAAAAAATGAAAATAGAGAGAGAGACATACATATACATACATACATACACATTACATACATACATTTGAAGCTCAAAGCTTTGATCAGAGATCTGAGCAGAAAGATCTATATTTATCAAGTTTCACTCAGGCTCCGTCAAGCTCTAGATCCAAATCCGATACCAATGTCTCTTGTTGCCATGGACCTAGAGATCTGCAAAGCTAGATGAAAAAGAGCGAGAGAGATGTTCAACAGCCGCTAGAATCACAGATCTGCTAGAAGTGAAAAGGCTATTGGAACCACCAAATCTGAAAGCTCATGATTGATAGAAAACTTTGCGGAACATAAACTAAAAACTATTAAGGATTCAATTCTATACAAGAAAATTATATAAATTTTTACTTTACAAAATAAGTGTATATGTACATTGATCCATGATAGTATAAAAACCTCTTTTGGAAAAGAGAAACCTAGAGAAACCTTGAATAGAAGATCTTGATCTTCAAGTTCTTTATTTGTCTAATATCTTCAAACCCAAGTTCTTTATTTGTTTAATATCTTCAAACTACTTCTCTCTGTCTAAGCGATGGGAGTCTTCTTGTGGTGGTAACTTGAGTTTTGTGATAAAAAGTGTGGTTTGAAACCTTACACTATTTATACTAGTAATCTTCCCATCAAAGAAGCCATTCATTTAATGAACCTCATTAAATAGATTAATGTATCTTCTACATTCATAATAGATACATAATGCATCTCTAAGATTCATTTATAAGGAATCTATCACATTCAATGCATTAATACTATCTCCATTAGTCTTCTATACATTATGTATATATAGGCATATTCATCAATGATTAGTCATCATCTAATTGATGTACATGTATCTTATTTAATGAGATGAATCTAGTATAATCATGTATCAGCCACATTAAGCCATATTCAGGAAAAATTCTTACAATCTCCCACTTAGCTTACATGATTATATTATGTCACTAGATTATCATAAAATGGCTAACGTTCTCCCACTAGAATATTGTACAATCATCATTAGATTCTGTTCAATGAAATTATTAGCACCAAATTATTGTAATCAGTGATTTACACATTGATTAAGACTGTACAATGGTTATAGTGTTAATATTTTCCATCAACATTAATAAGTGAATCTTAAATCACAGAGATGACATTAGCAACATAATGGTGATTAATGCTAATTCATCTATAATGGTTCTATTGTTTATATATTCTTCTAAATTGTGCATAAGTATGAAAAATGAAAACAACAAAAATAATTGTTACTAACATAAGATGATTATAACATAACATTTATACATTCATTTCAAGTCTAAACATGATAAACTTTCTACTAAGCCCATGCATGCAACATGTTCTTAAAAGAGTTTAGGTGTGAGACCTTTAGTTAAAAGATCTGCCAACATGAGTGTAGTGCCAATATGAGATATGGAAACAATCTGATTTAGAACCCTTTCTTTAACAATTAGATACTTGATATCAATATGCTTTGATCCTCCTAAAATTTGTTATTATTGGAGAACCAAACAGCAGCATCATTATCACAGTAAATCTGAAAGGGCCTCGAATTTGAATCGACAAGTTATAATCTAGATATGAAATTCTTTAGCCATACTGCATGACACGTGGCTTCATAACATGCTATGAACTCTGCCTCCATAGTGGAAGAAGTTGTTAGAGATTGCTTAGGACTCCTCCATTAAATGGGTCCATTAGTAAGCATAAAAATGTACCCAGAAGTGGACTTTCGAGTGTCTCTACATCCAGCATAATCAGCATCTGAATAACTAATTACTTCAAAGTTATCTGTTCTTTAATAAGTAAGCATGTAATCCAATGCCTTATAAATATCGCAACACTTTCTTAACTACTTGCCAATGATCAAGTCCGAGATTGCTTTGGTATCGACTAAGCATACCAACTACAAATGCTATGTTAGGATGTGTACAAACTTGAGCATACATAATGCTCCTAACTGTAGAGGCATAAGGAATTTCTTTCATTTGTTCCCTTTCTAAATTATTTATGGGACACTGAAATTCACTAAATTTATTACCCTTAACTATAGGGGCAACACTACTTGAACAGTTCTACATGTTGCATATTTTAAGAACCTTTTCGATATAGGCTCTTAGAGACAATCCTAAAATACCACGAGACCTATCTTGGTGAATTTCTATCCCAATGACAAAAGATGCTTCACTAAGATATTTCATTTTAAAATCTTTCGTAAGGAATTGTTTTATCTCATGTATCATTTCCAAATTATTGCTAGGAAACAATATATCATTAATATACAAAACTATAATGCAGATATTGCTCCCACTGATTTTAAGGTAGACACATTGATCAACCACATTATCCTTAAAATCAAATTTGGTAAGAACTTCATGAAATTTAAGATACCATTGTCGAGATACTTGTTTTAGACCATATATGGACTTCTTAAGCCTACCAACCATATTTTCCTTGTTTTCATCCTGAAAACCTTCAGGTTAGTCCATGTAGACCACTTCACGTAAGTCAACATTTAAAAAAGCCATTTTAATGTCCATTTGATGTAACTCTAAATCATAATGAGCTACTAAGCCTATGACTATTCTCAAGGAATCCTTATTAGAAACAGGAGAATAAGTTTCCTTATGATCAATCTCTTCTCTTTGAGTGTATCCTTTAGCAACTAATCTGGCATTGTATCTTTCGATATTGCCTTTAGGATCACGCTTGGTTTTAAAAACCCATTTGCATCCAACAGTTTTGGCTCCCTTAGACAATTTTACAAGATCCCAGACATTGTTGTCTTTCATGGATTTTAACTCGTCTTTCATGGCATTTAACCATTGAGTTGCATTTCCATTATTCATGGCTTGGGCATAAGAAATAGGATCGTTCTCCGAGCCTATATCACACTCATTTAGGTAAACGTCATAGTCATTGATATGGCTAGTTTCTTTTCTCTCTGTGATCTGCATAAAGGTTATTCTGCAAGTAGGACAACTTCTTTTTCAATGTGAGAAATCTCTTGAGTACCAACATTATCCACAATAGGTTCAGGTACTTCATTTTCTTGGATAATCATGGAAGGCGTAAAAGCGCGAGTTTCCTCCAAATAAATATTTTTGAAATTCATACTCCAATTAATGTCTTCATCCTCTAAGAACACAACATTTCTAATTTCAACAATTCTTGTGCTATGAGTGGGACAATAAAATCTAAAACCCTTTGATCTCTCAGGATATCCAATGAAATAACAACTTATAGTTGTAGGGTATAATTTCTTTAGTTGTGGATTGAAAATTTTTGCTTCAGCAGAACATCCCCATACATGTAAATAATTCAAATTTGGTTTTCTACCAACCAATAACTCATAAGGAGTTACAGGCACAGTCTTACTAGGAACCTTATTAAGAATATGTACAACAGTTTTTAAAGCTTTACCCTACAAGAAATCTGACAAAGAAGAGTTACTCATCATGTTTCTCATCATGTCCAAAAGAGTACGATTTCGTCGCTCAGCTACACCATTTTGCTCAAGTGTACCGGGCATTATGTAGTTAGCAACAATACCATTCTTAGCTAAAAATAAAGCAAAAACACTTGGATTTTGACCCGACTCAATGAATCTACCATAATATTCATTGCTTCTATCAGATCTTACACTTTTAATCTGGCTGCCAAGTTGATTTTCAACTTCAGCTTTATAGAGTTTGAACATATCCAGCGCTTCTGATTTTTCACGAATAAGATACACATAAGTATACCTAGAAAAGTCATCAATAAAAGTAATAAAATATTTATGTCCAGAAATAGTTGGAACAGTAAAAGGATTACATATGTTAATATGAATTGTGTCTAATAATTCAGTAGCCCTAGTAGCACCATTTTTTTTTTGTCTTTGTGTATTTTCATTTAATGCAATTCACACAAGTATTAAATCAGAAAAATCAAGTGAACTTAAAATTTCGTCTTTAATAAGACATTCTATCCTTTCTCTTGATATGTGGCTCAAGCGTTTATGCCACAACATGGATGATTTTTCATTCACTCGCTTTCTCTTTTTATTTACCAAGTCATTTACCTGAAAGGATAAAACAGATTGTACATAAGTGGAATCCAAATTCAATGAATAAAGATTACCATATAAAGTACCAAAACCAATCATATGAGAATTACGGAATAAAAAGACTCAATTATTTCCAAACTTAAATTCATAACCACATAAATCAAGTTGTGAAACAGAAATTGGGTTTCTAATAAAAACAGGAACATAAACTGTGTTTATTAAATCTAAAATAAAACTAGAGTCTAAAATTAGACGGAGGGTGCCAATAGCCTCAGCGTCCACTTCTATTCCATTCCTGACTGTAATGGTTTGTTCTCCTTTATTTAGTTTCTGACTTGTAAGGTATCCCTGCATGGAATTTGTTATGTGAATACTTGCACCAGTGTCAATCCACCGAGAATTAGGTGGAACATCTACCAAAAAGGATTCATAAGATACAAAGCATTGAGTGTTACCTTTCTTGTCCAACCAACCTTTAAAACATGGACAGTCTTTTCTCATGTGGCCTTTCTTTCGACAAAAATGGCACCGAATCTTATTTTCTTCATTAGCCTTGTGAGTTTCATCATTTGCATTCTTCTTCTTATTACTTACTTTTGCCTTTCTTGAAAATCTTTTTGGCTAGACCCAAGGTGGTAAGGTGAGCCATATCAGGCTTTTCAGCTTTAAGCCTCTCTTCTTCGTGAACACACATGGCAATTAACTCGCTCATCTTCCACTTATCTTTCTACGTATTATAATTGTTCTCGAAACAACCAAATTGCATAGGAAGAGAAGTCATAATGAAATAAACAAGAAAACCTTCAGAAATTTCCATGTCCATTCCCTTTAATTGAGAGGCCATGTCATTTATCTTTAAGATATGTTCACGAACATCACTCAAACCATCATATTTCATTGTTATCATTTTAATCATGAGAGTACTAGCAAGGGATTTGGAAGTTCTAATAAATTGTTCTTCAATAGATTTCATATAGCCGATTGCACTTTCAGAAACAAGAATTGCTCCTTGAATTGTAGGCGTAATTGAGCCTTTCATAATCATTAGACTTAAGCGATTAAAGTGTTTTCATTTTTCATATAAAGCCACATGTTCCTTAGAACTTGTATCATTAGGCTTTGTAGATGCTGGCTCTATTGATACATAATCTAAATCCATAATTCCCAAAACAATTCCAATTTGTTTCTTCCATTTCTTAAAATTAGTTCCACTCAAAGCTTCAATATCAGACAAGCAACTGTTAATTGCAATATGGTTCAATACTACAAACGCATAATATCCGTTACATAACTTAATATAATTACTTTTCATATGTCATGAATAAAAATAACACCACAAGTTAAATATATCTAACTAGAAAACATAATTAGTTAGATACAAAATCAAGTTATCCTTCCGTTGGGCAGAATAACAATATATTTTAACAATTTCACAAAAGTAAATGAGATGACTAATAAAAATAAACAACATAAAATAAAATAAAATAATCATTAAAACCATAACGAGTTTATCACCGTTGGGTAGAAAAACTCATTGCTATATTTCTTATACTAACCATATCGGTTGTTCAAACATAAGAGTGGTAAACCTCCATTGGGCTGATCAACAATGTTTCAAGTCATAAGGTGTGTAACAAAACATTATAAGTGTATAAGGCACTATCTTAATTACCACTTATTTAATAATTTATAATTTTTTATTTTAATATCAATAGAATAAAAGATTGACCAAAAATAAAGATAAAATTAAACAAGTGTAAATCAAGGCTATGCACTGGTTACACAAAACATCATTATAAAATGAAATTCATACTTATAAGTTTTATGCATTAAAATTGAGAACCATACTCTGATACCAATTGATAGAAAACTTTGCGGAACATAAATTAAAAACCGTTAAAGATTCAATTCTATATATGAAAACTATATGAATTTCTATTATACAAAATAAGTGTATACGTACCTTGATCTATGATAGTATGAAAACCTCTTTTGAGAAAGAGAAACCTTAAATAGAAAACCTTGATCTTCAAGTTCTTTATTTGTTTAAGATCTTCAAACCATTTCTCTCTCTCTAGGCGATGGGAGCTTTCTTATGGTGACAACTTGAGTTTTGTGATAGAGAGTGTAGTTTGAGACCTTACACTATTTATACTAATGATATTCCCATCAAAGAAACCATTCATTCAATGAACCCCATTAGATAGATTAATGTATCTTTTACATTCTAATAGATACATAATGCATCTCTACGATTCATTCATAATGAATCTATCACATTCAATGCATTGACACTATCTCCATTAGTCTTCTATACACTATGTATATATAGGTGCATTCATCAATGATTAGTCACCATCTAATTGATGTACATGTATCTTGCTTAATGAGATGAATCTATTATAATAATATATAAGCCACATCAAGTCATATTCAAGAAAAATTCTTACAATGACCTCATTCTGATTGGCGACACACCACGCATGGTCTGTAAAGCCATCGTCGACGCTACTCAAAGCCACTGTGGACTTCACTAAGACATATGTGGTGTGGTAGTTCGCTGATAGTGCAATGCGATCGAGAGGTCAAGCAGCGACTCCGACAACTCAATTGTTTCAAGTGACTCTGGCAACTACTAGAAAGAGAAAGAGTTTGAAGAGAGAGAGTGAGAGAAGACGGTTGTGTGTTCATTTTGAGTAATTGGTCCGTGTAGATGATTTATATAAAGGGGCATGTTGGTTATTTTGTCAAAACTTGTCATTTTAGATAAAATATTATAGCACTTGAACTTTTGACCAAACAAAATTGAAAATTAGATTTTTAGTCTGAATACCCTTTATAAGTTGTTTTTTTAACTTATTACAAAAAAAATTATAAAAATATAAAGAGGTAATATAACTTAAATAAACTGATAAAATAAGCCTTCATTTGGGATGTGGATTGACCTTTTGGTTTTTTGACGTACGGGGTTAAAAAGCGTCATTTGGGATGAAATTTTTGACTTTTTTGACTTTTATGAGAGAAAAAATGAAATGATTATGATTTAGATGTGACATTTTGTCTTATTAATTTTTTAATCTATTTTGTCTTTTTTTTTTTAATTTTTTTTTATAAACTTTTCAAAGAGATAGGCCTATTTTGGCAACGTGGTTAAAAGTCGCGTTTGGGCGTTTGATGAAAAAGCCAAACGTGACTTTTTTGTTCTAAAACTCGTTTGGGAAGCTGGATAAACGCAGAATTGTAATTTACGAATATACCCTCCATTCACTTAGGGTTTGTTGAGTCAAAACACTTATCATTTTGCATCTCACGCCTCTTATTCTTCTCTCCATCTCAGATCGTCTTCGCTCCGCTGCACCGCTGGACGCCGCGTAAAACTTGTTTCTATCGTTAGCCATCGACATCGCCACCGACTTCCCTCTACCAAGTCGTCTTCCTCGGTTGATCTACACAATCATGTAAGCCTTCTTCCTTCCGCTGGTGGTTTGCTACCCGTGATTTGCAACCAATTGTTTGGAAACTATTAAATTACAAATAGATCTGTTAATTTTCAATTCCGTTGATGACATTACAAGTGTTATTTGGCTTTCTGATTACCATCTGCTACTCCTTTTGTTTTTTTGGGATTTTATGGGTAAACACTTGTCCGATCTGTTTATTTATGTATTTGTGTATTTATTTTTATTTTTACTACTTCTGCTGGCCTTATCTTGCTATGAAAAAAATTTACTAGAACTTTGTTACGGGATGTTTATAATCTTGCGACCTATGGAAACCCCTTTCAGATTTGCTTATTCTGCTTTTGAACAACAAAAACAATGATTCATGAACTTGACAATGAGTCATTCTGCTTATGTACATGGTTGTGTACAAAACCAATGAGTCATTCTACTTGTGTACATGGTTGCATCTATGGACTACACCAAAAAAAAAAAAAAAACAAAAGGCCTATTGGGTATTTATAGCCACTGAGCTACATCTCCAACCACAGGAAAAACAGAGTTGACTAATAAAGAATATATATATATATTTTTTTATAGATGTTGCAAATCAAATTTTATATATATTTTTTTTATTAATTTCACATTGATTAGATTCACAAATCTGTCTGTTTCTCCACCATTGAATGCTCTCCAAAGCTTTTCAATTTCCAAAGAGAGACAGAGACATGGATACTCATATGAGTTTAATGTCATTGGGATGTTTTGTTCTTCTATTGGGTTTTGTGAATGGATCATATGGTTTAATTTCTCATAATGTGCTGAAAAAGATGAATGTGATAAACAAGGAAGGTCCATACGTAGGCATTGTTCTTGTTTTGTATTTGTTTTGTGGTTGATCACAAGCTTCAATACTAGGATTTTTTTTTCTAGATGTTATATGATTATTTGGCCTCATGCAACTTTTACTTGGTGGGTTTTTTTTTTTTTCAAAGGTTTTAGTTATCTTACATCCTCAAATTTTCCTCCTTATGTTACATCTCTTATTGAAGTTACCATGCCAAATGATATTGCATTAATTTGATGAAGTTTGAAAAGTTTGGTTGACAAAGACTGTGCTTTTTGTTTGCTTCCATTCCTTGTCCTTGTTATTCTACTTCTCTTTATTGCTGTCGGAAAACCCCCAAGAAGATATTTTTTCCAGCAAAATAGCAGTTTATAATCCACCAACTGTCATCCATTCTAAAAAAAACAATGGTTTCATTCAAAGCCCATTATATGTCCTTTTGCCTTCACAAACCTTAAAACCATAAAAGGGTATAAGCTGTAAACCATTTAAGAGATCAAAGACTACATCACTCATGTCATCTTACTGTCTTCCTACATTTTTGCAAGATTTAGTACAGTTTGTAAATTTTGGGCATTCTTCTAATTTATGGGCCCTATGTCCTTCACATCCAACAGCGAATCGAATCAATTCTTAACTTCAAATTCCTTTCCAAAATTATATCTACAGCCCATGTTACTTCGGGTTCAACCAAAACATAGAATGTAACCCAACCATTGCGTGGAAAAAAAGAAAAAACAAAAATGAATGGTAAAACTAACTTCCTATCTCAAATTGTTAGAACTAGTGGACCTATGATAGATTTATCTGGAGAAAGTTGTAATTCCCTTGTCATACATCATATACACCAAAGCACTGGATAGTTACATGCTTCTTCCACTGGCCGAAGCTCCTACTATTAGTTTGACCTTACTTGTACCTTACTAAAATGTTTACAAATTTAGAAATTAAAAAAACAATATTAAATCGTTATGCAAAATAAAAATAAAAATAAAAATGAAAAGGGATTTTATGACGATATGAACAAAATTAGTAACCATTAAGCTTAAGCAGATGAGTGAGTAAGAATAACAGCCAATGAGTTGTACCTGTCATCAACAATGAAGTCAGACATGGTGTCTCCCTTAAAAGCAATTTCAGGCCTTGTAATGGCATATGTAATCTGCCAAAGTGAAAATCTGATCATGTATAACATAGGCTTTCTAACAAGAAAATAATGGTGCCAGGGGAACTTCATAAGGTTCATCTATGTTATCCTGCAATTAGAAAACAATTGCTTCAACATAGTTTAAAAATCTTATCCTCCATTCCCTTTTTATTTTTTCGGAAAAAGGTGATGTTGAAATTGGTCCTTATGCTCCCAACCAGTTCTAACAGTAAACTTCCCAATGTTGTTAAAGCACGACAGTACAGTGCTAAAATGTCATGTCATATGGATTGAGGAATAGGGTAATGGATCTGTTCTTTGAATTTTTTTGTCATACGGTGGATGTGGTAGTACTGTTGGGAAGTGCAAAGATGGCTTGGATGTTTCCATTTTTCACATGAATTGAGGAAATGGTATAACAACAAAATACACAAATTTCATTTTAAGATTACCTATGTCAATCAGGTGTTCTCTATATGTAATAAGTCACACGTTGTCCATGGGTTACATTTTTCCAACACCCATATGATGACACATACATTTACCTGGGGTATAAGAAACACATCCATTGACATTACTTGTTCCACACCATTATAAGGACACATGTTAACATTTCTTGTTCCACTACACACCACAGAAATGGCTTCCTCGATGTCAACTGCCACTTCTTCATGGCCACGAAGGATGTGTGCATGTGGCTTTGGACACTGCTTTGTAAAGATTTCTAGATCTAACAAAAACCCAGGTCGTGCATACTATGTTTGCCCTAGTCCAACGGTGCGTATTACCGCTATTCAATGCATGTACTCCTGTACTTGTCATTTACGATTATGTCATAAATAAATGACTCTAACTACTGAAATTGTGTATGCCAGCAATGTGTTCCGTGGGTAGGTTGGTGTGACGAGTTTCGCAGAGAAAGGGTTGCTAATGACCTCCCTCCGAATGACGTCGATCTGGGGTTACGTAGTGACGTTGATCGCATAGATCTGAGCCTACGTTTGCTTTGGACAGTCGTCGGTGCGTTGAGCGTCATAGTGATTGCCTTGTTGTTTCGTATGTGATTTATTCTCATTTTGTGGGTTTTTGTGTTATTTTCAAGACCGGACACCCTCACGCTGAACGTAGTTATATGTGTAACTTGCATATTATGCCTCTTTCACCGTATTAGACATGTTGATGCAATGCATTCTGAACTTTTGTATCAATATACGTATTGTCATATTCAGGAAAGCTTATTTTTTGTTGTCTACAACCACAGCTACGTTGTTGTACTGTAAACAAATTAACTAATTGTATTGCATGCGTTGTTGTATTGCTACTTCCATACATGTAATTAATTGTTTTGCGTTGCATGCTCATTTTCTTGTGAACTACACTTATGACCCACTCGTAGTGTGATGGCAACTACTCATACTTCACCCCGTACCCCTTCGAAAACACATGGCAAAGGTGTGACATCAAGCCAAAACTCACCTGTCCATAAATGCACTTGGGATAGTGACAACACTAAGCTGTACCTACAACTTGTCCTTGGTGAAATGAAGAAAGGTAACCGACAAATATGCGCCTTATCCAGCACTAGGTGTAAGAATATTGCCAACAAGTTCTATGAGAAAACATGAATGCAACATTCGGCCAAACAAATAAAAAACAAATATGACAATCTGAAGAAAGATTGGGTTGCCTGGAAAAAGCTGCAAGATGCTAGTCAAGGCTTCACAGGAATAGGATATGACCAGGCCACGGGTTTGTTCACAGCACCTGAGCATTGGTGGGCCAAAATGCAAGCGGTATGACGTACTTTACTTTTCCAAATACCAACTGCCTTCTTCATTTTAATGTTTACAAATTAATTGTTGTTTAGTTGCTCGACATTTTTTTTTTGACTCTGTTAGATGAACCAGCGATGTGCAAGGTTCAAGACCAAGCCCTTGGAGCACTTGGAGCTTATGGAAATGGTGTACTCGGGCGCTTCCGCAACAGGAAAACATGCATGGACCCCAACTGAAATTCGTGATGATGATGCGGCCGCCAATGATGCAGACGCTGACAGTGGCATGGCACCTCTCAGTGATAGCACACCACCTATTACTGTGCCTGATAGAGGCGGCGAAAACGTGGTTGATTCTTCACTATTTGATGATGCTCCTCCACAGTCCACTACAGATGGATCAGCCAACGCAAAGCGTCGAAAGAGGGGAACCCCTGGTACAGTGGCCAGTAGCATGGACAACCTTGTGGAGGCTGTTAGCAAACAAAGCAAGGAGTTGAAAATCACCCAATATGTTGTGACAGGAAGGGACGAGAACACTGTTGGGGATTGTCTTGCGAGGCTTATGAACACACCAGGATTGGAGGTGGGTGGTCCGTTATTTTCATTTGCATGCTCGCTAATGGATTCGCCGAACAACCGCGACCTCATGATGGGCCTCCCTCTTGATTGCATTGTTGCGTGGTTAAAAGAGAAACGTGCCATATGTCATCCAACTGTTGTCAGTGGAACCCGCGGTGTGTCTTTATTTGGGCCGGATGGAGTGCTTGACCTTAATTAAAGCTTGGAATGAACAAGTGCAATGTTAACCACTGCGTGCCTTTTTTTTTTTTTTTCTCTGTTCTTATTTACTTCTGTTTGTGTGGGATATTTGTATTTAATTTCTTTATTTTTGTGTTTCTTGTCATGTTGTGTGGAACCCAACTGTTATGGTGTCACGACCCCAAACCGCCCCTAGTAGTTTGGTGCCGTGATGGCCAGTAATCCGTAATTACCGAAGGCCAACTTACAAAATCACACACAACAGAGTATAATATACGGGGCTCACAGATGTGGAAGCAATAGTTCAAAATACAAGTGGTCCATAAGAGCGGTGCATAAGTCAAATGGAATGGCATACATCTCTACATAACTTTAAAACTTGAATACAAAAGTACATATTACATCTTGGCAAAAGGGCTTCTCAAGCCGACATAAATATAACACATGAAATACAAATCAAAATACAAAATCTTCAGATTGCTGACATCCTTACAGCCGACCAAACATGCATACAAACACACATCTCGGCGTAGCCGACTTCTTGCTTGTTACCTACATATATACATAGGGAAGGTGAGCTTGGATACTCAGTGAATGGTACAAGTAATAAAGGGGTTAAATGAATGATTCCCGAGGTCTTTTCAAAACAATACATAGTATATCTTGTCAAAACCATACATAACATAGCTTAGCTTGGCTTGAAATAAAACATCATTTGAAACTTGGCCTTTCAAAACTTGCATACTTAACATACGTCAAATCTTATAACATAACCTCGGCATAACCTTGGTCCTTCAAAACTTACTTACTTATCATGTGTGCTACTAATGCTTAAAGTCCCCTAGCACGTACGGACTTGTGCCACTAATGCTTAAAGTCCTCTGGCACGTACGGACTTGTGCCACTAATGCTTAGAGTCCCCTGGCACGTACAGACTTGTGCCACTAATGCTTAGAGTCCCCTGGCACGTACGGACTTCCAAAGATTGACACCAAAACAAAGCTTATACTTGATAACTTGTCATTCAAAACAAAGCTTATACTTGATACATAAAATAGGGATATCATTCATGCTTAACAAATACTTTTATCGAAACAGGGCAAAGCTTTATCAAAACCTTAAGAACATATCTTTATTAGAAATACCACTCACTTTGATTCTTGGGACGTCGGGATCAAGGCAAAGGTCCAAGTCCTACAACACATTGCAAAGCATACTGAACATACTTCTCAAAACAAGTCTAACATGCATGCAAATGATCTCGGAAAAACATGCTGGAAGTCAAATCACAGTTTTACATGTCAGGAAGACATGCTGGGTACTAACCAGGTCTTTGCCGAGGTCCCACACCTCCTGGCCGAGGTGTGGCTACCTAGGCTTCGGCATGCGGCTGCACGCCGAAGTGCGCACAAGACAAACTGAAAGTGTAAGTGATCATGCAAGGTAGGCCAAGGTGAGATACGATGCTTGGCCTAAGTGTGAGGTCTAGGTGAGAGTGATCTCGGCGACTACACCTCGGAAAGTGAGGTCTGGAGATCTGGGTTTCCACCCGTGAAGAACAAGGAGGACAAGAACATGAAGATCATGAAGAACACGAATGCCAAAATCATAACTTCTTTATTTACAAAATCTGGGATTTCATGCTATGAGTTCGAAAACGTGGACCTGGGTACCCATACTTGAAAATCATGCAAGAACAAACACAAAAACATGGATCTAGACATGAGCCTTCGGATCAAAACGTGACTTTTCTTGAAGAACACATGAAAACCATTTTCTCTTTCTAAAACCGAACTTCAAAGCAATGCATGGCTTACAAATCATTTTCAATCATGCAATGCAATAACATAAACATAAAGAACATCATGAGCAGGTCAAGAATCTAACCTTAGAACGCGGATCTAACGGTTCGATCTCTAGGAATCAAGCTTGGAAGTCTAATCTCTCTCAAGAACCCTTCTCCCTCTTCTAGAGCTTCTCTCTCTACTCTTCAAAACAATATACAACAAATGGTGGGTTCTCTCTCTACCGGCTGACTTAACTCTCAGCTCGGACACGTGGCAACGGCTGGTTGGTTCTCTTCAAAAAGGTGATAGATTGACAAGACAAGACCCTGACAAGGCGTATCTAACAAGCTACTCGGTAAGGCACTCCGGCAAGTGGTGACATCGGCTAAGGACAAGGCTTCGGCAACTAAGATGACAATGACCTCGGCTAGGAAGGACAACACTTGACTAAGCTGTGCCACACCTTGGCCTAGATGTGCCACACCTCGGTCTAGGTCATACCACTCCAGGACAAGATCACTCAGGTGCAAAGGTAACATCTCGGCCTAGATAATACACATCTCGGCCTTGGTGATTCACACCTCGGCCTAGATAATGGCATCTCGGCCAATATGTCAAAGCAAAGATGGAGGTCAACAAGGGGGTTCCAAGATACTGCTAGACTGAAGATGACCTCGGCTTGGAATGATCTAGGCAAAACATAACCTAGGCTTCACATCAAGGAAGGAGCAAAACATGCGAGCAACACTTGGACACATCACAAAGGCATCAAAACAAGGCATGGACCTTACATACTTAAGCAAAACAAGTCACAAACATACAAATGCAAGCTTAACAAGTCATAATCACACAGATGCTCATGAACATGTCTAAGACATAAATGTGGGTTATTACATATGGTGTGTTGAACGTTAAACACGTTTGAATGGTAGGTGTGTGACCATTCCAAATATTAGAGGCTTATGCATGATAGTAAAGTGTGATCATTTCCTTTTAGTTATTATTATTTTTTTCCTGTGCCTATTTACTTATGTTTGTGAACTTGGGATGTTTTTATTTATATGATTTTTTTTTGTTTTTTTGTTTCCTATTATGATGTGTGAAACCTAGCTGTTATGGTGTCTTAAATGTGAAACAAGTTTGAATGGTAGTTGTGTGACCATTCCAAATAATAGGGGCTTATGCATGAGGAGTACTGACCATTCACTGTTAGTTACTATAGTTTTTTTTCTTGTTTTTATTTATATGATTTTTTTTTTTTTTTGGATAGTTGTGTGAAACCCCCAGCTGTTATGGTAGACATTCATATTGACTGCAGCTGGAATCTTATACCTTTGTGCATGTACCTGCATAATCGTATACCATTTCTTGTATATTCTCAAGTGGCCTATGAACCCTTCCTCACATAACTCTGCAGACTAGTAAAAGTAGAGCCATTTTCCAGTGGCCTATGAACCACTTCTTGTTGAAAAGTAGAAAAATATGGAAATAATGCTGCAAAGGAATCAACATTTCTTGTTCAATCTAATAGCATAAAAAGAAAGAAAATCAATTGAATTGGGAAAAAGTAATTAAAGTACAGTAAGTTAATTTAGAGAAAAAAAAGAAGACATGTTCTCAATTAAACAACTAATATAAATCCAAAAAGTGAAACATATTGTACATGGTGACTGCAATTGGAATCTTATACTTTTTGTAAAAGTTATGTGAATTGATATTTCTGCTAAAGGGGGGTACACTTGCCCATGTGATGGTGTACAAATCCTTGGGCAAGGTATTCACGTGCCCACAGGAATGAATTTGTAGTTGGGGAAGCCTACCTATTTATTTGTACACAAGGGTGTCCAATACATACGCATCACAAGGGTAAGAAATTTTAGTAGCAGTTAAGATATTCACACTTCAGCTGACGTTCCCCTAGTAAAGGTGTGTTCTCGTTATTCAAATTTGATTCCAATAGGCTTGCATGGTTGTAAGAGTAACATACGTTATGCATTGGATTCACCCTTTTTTTTTTCTTTTTTTTTTTCTTTTTTTTCTTGGTTGAATTTGTTATACAGCATCAATGGATCCGCAAGTGGGTAATAGCACAGGTGCTGTGTGCAATGGCCAAATTAATACGTGGATACGAGAGACAATCGGAGAGATGGAAATGACAACATCAATGATATGGCTAGAAATTGCACGCGTGGCCAATGAGTACTCATATGTTGACAGGACTCCATTTCACACATCTGCGTTGACTGGGAGATTATGGATGCAGGAGATGCTTACAGGCCGAGAAGAGGCATTTCAGCGTAATTTTAGGATGCCAAGGGATGTGTTCATAAAATTGTGTAACACATTAGTAGCTGATTTTGGTCTCGAACTCCCGCAGCGTCCGCATGGTATTGATGTAGTTGAGAGCGTGGAGATGTTTATATACGTGTTGCGAGGCTTCCCAAGTTGGGATATTGAAGACCGCTTCCAACACTCAGGGGAGACAGTGTGGCGTCATTTTAAGCGTGTTCTTAGAGCAATGAAGGAATTTACACGAGCCCACTGCCAACTGACGAGGCCTCAAAATAGTAGACATCCATATTTGGAGTCACAACCGAAATATTTGCCATTCAGGGTGAGGTGTAAAATGTTCTTTTTTTTGCCATGTGCCAAAATAGTTGTGTATGTCTAAAATGTAATTTTATTAGTCCCTTATGCCATGTTTGCATTATGTGAGCACGCAGGACTGTATTGGGGCATTGGATGGGACACACGTGGAGGCAAATTTGAAGCCGCGTGAGGCACCGCCATATTTTGGTCGTAAAGGACGACACACGCAAAATATCCTTGCAGTTTGCGATTTTGACTTGTGTTTTACTTTTATCTCCTGCGGCTGGGAGGGTAGTATGCATGACAGTAGAGTGTTTAACGAAGTTACCCAAGATCCGGCGAAAAAATTCCCACACCCAATAAACGGTAAAATGAAGTGGCACTGTTCAATATCATGATTGATTTATTGTCTTTTTATTAACTAAAGTTCCTAATTAAAATTATTTGGACACACAAAGGAAAGTATTACCTTGTTGATGCAGGGTACAAGAATCAGAAAGGCTTTCTTGCACCGTTTAAGGGATGTCGGTATCACCAAGAACAGTTCCGTGTGACTGGACGAGCACGTAATGCGAACGAAGTTTTTAATATAGTGCACTCATCATTAAGGAGTGCAATTGAACGTACATTCGGAGTGTGGAAAGCGCGCTGGGGTTTTCTACATAACATGCCTCGGTATGATTTCGGAAAAGTGCAAGTGCCATTGGTTGGGGCTTCAATGGCACTGCGTAATTTCATACGCCGTAACTCAAACGAAGATGAAGCATTCAACAGGGTTGCTAATGCGGAACATTTTATTTTTAACGACATGCCCAATGCAGCGGGTGTTGGTGATGATGATGATGATGAGCTTGATCCAGCGGGTGATGATGATATAGAAATGAATGAATTTAGAAAATCTATTAGAAATGTGTTGGTGCAAAATCGCCATGAGCTACGGCTGTAATTAATCTTTACGAATAATATATATGGTTACATATGAGGAGTTATTTTGGCCTAGTGAATTTTTATTTGTATTTTTCTTTTTATTTTTATGATGATTTATATATACAATTTTTATTTTTTAAAATAGTTTTTTTATTTTTTATTTACATATGAGGAGTTACTTTTGTTCTAAAACCCATTTGGGAAGCTGGAAGCTGAATATTATAAGACAATGGTATTTTTTATTTATTTTTTATTTTTTATTTTGAACAAATTTTTATACAATTTGTATGTTTATTTTTATGGAAGACATGTAAAGGTAAAAATAAAATATTTTGGGTATTTTTTATTTTATTTTATTTTATTTATTTATTTATTTATTTTTAAAAAAAACCTTGCATATCCATGATATGTACATGTCACAGTGTACAAGTTTCCCGGATGCACAAGCCATTTTATTCACAAATGGGAAGAGGGTATTTTGGTCATTTTACATTATTTTTAATGATATGACAACATTAAAAATTATTAACTAAAAAAAGTCAAAAAGTCACTTTTTACCAACTTCCCAAATCATTTATCTAAAAAAGCCAAAAGCTTGGTTAAAAGTCAAAAAATCACTTTTTATCAACTTCCCAAAACAACCCATAGTGTCATGTCTAAGACTATCTCTAGCCCAACATTTGATGAAAAAAAAATTACATTTTTGTTGCTCTAATGGTTTTGTCAAACCAATATCAAATCAAATTATTTCCGTTGTACCGAAAAAGATATGTTACCGTTTACATTAAATTGAGGATGATTGTAGTTTTCACTAATTTACTGATCAAAACTGTTAGAGTTGCAGGTAATACAACACCATCAGACGACCACTTGGGTGAAAAATTGCCCACAATATATTAGAGATTTGATTGAAAATTATACTGGCCTAATGTCTGCCCAGTCATTTTCTTAATCGATCGGTGATTTGATGACTCTTTTTTGGATCACGCAATATCATATATAATTTTTACTTAATTTTCTACTCAACTTTATTGGGAAAAAATAATAATTAAACGTTGGAAGTGACCTAATATATAAGTTATCATAGAATCAAAAACAATCATTTTACAAGAAGTCAGTTATAGATTTAACAGAGTAAAAAAACTATCAAATAATATTCAAATATAATTACCCTAAAATTATAATTAAAAATTCAAATATAATTACCCTAAAATTATAAAATCTTTTACTTCCTTCCCAATCCTTTTCCTTTCTTTCCTTTTCTTTTCTAGTTTGCCAAACACACGACAAAATGGGGCTCTTCCGCGTCTCCAGAGAGAGCAACACCCCGCCCTCCCTGAACCCTAACAATTTCGACCGATCGCCGGGAAAAAGTCGCCGGAAGCTCCTAACCTAACACGCGGTCTATGGAGGCGCGTCGTCTCCGAACCCTATTCAGGAACTCGACTTCACTCTCTTCTCTGCTACAGAGTCTCCGCAATTTCTCTTCCTCCTCCTCATCATCTTCTTCTTCGGCCGCCGCGAGCCCGAGAACCTGGAAGTTCTTCTCCGACGATCCGCTGGAAGTTGGGAGTTCCGTGTACCGTCACGCCCTCAAATTCCAGCGACCATCCACCATCGAATGGCGAGAAGAGCTCCGCAACTCCGTTAGCTTCATCGGAATAGTCGGCTTTCCTCTCCGGAAATTAAAATGCCGTGAATTTGGTGCTTACACCTTCCTCAACGTCAAAACCTCCCCCAATTCCAACACCTCATTCAGGTGGGACACGCTTAATCCACCTTCTCTCTGTGTGTACATACATTATGTCTATGCGTGAACCTCTCGATTGATTATGGTGATTTTGTTCTGTGTTCTGAGCTCTAGGTTAATTAAAACTTTGTAATCTATGAATTCTTTGAATGCTTTGTATAGTTTGTTTTACAGAGTGAACTAGCGGTGGCTGTAATCTAAAGTTTGCAATTTTAGTTTGTAATCTAAAATTTGAATGCTTTAGTTTGTAATCTGAAGTTTGCAATTTTATTTCTAAATTTTTCTGTAATTTGATAAATGAAGAAGTTGGGTTGAATTTGATAATGGGTGGTAGTTATTTTCTGAAGAAGTTAACAATATGGGCATTTCTGACCCTCCCCCCCAAAAAGAATGTAGAAAGCTTCAAATCTTTCTGAGTTGTGTGCTTTGTATAGTAACCAATTTTCTGTGTCATTGCAATTAGATGAATCGTAAAGGTTTCAGCTTAACACTATTTACAATAAAGCTACGAAGTGATGATGCAACGAGGGTTGAGATTTTAGTTGTCAGATTCAAACTTGCATCATTTTACCAGGTCACTTAATTTGTTTTTAAATAGTAACATAAGGTGGAATGTGAAGATTTAAATTCTGTTGGTGGTGTTGTAATAATTATGGCAATGCTTCTCTAGTCTATTTTATGTGGTCTAATTGTTGCATATAAAGGGATGAACTGATTAATTCTCTCCATTTCATTGGTGACTTCAAAGATCGTTCTCTTACCATTTCAAAATTTGAGCAATTTAATAGAATGCTCACTATCACTATACAACCCATGTCTGAAAACTTATGGGTTCCTGCCGTTGATCTGTTTCATACTTTTGTTTATCATTTGGCATGCATTTCTATGTATATAAATACATTTTCTGCCTCATCTCAGTACCTGCCATAAATTTTTGTCATATTCATGTCCTTAAGAACACAGTCCTTTTTTTTTCCTTCAATTTTTTGTTCTTTCACTTGGAAAACTGTCTTCTTCTCATGGTTTTTTTGCTATGCAAGTCCATGTTTACAATTTTATGACCTGTCAAGGTATATATGTAACTAGGCATGCTTACATCCCACAATTTGTGAACAGGATTTTACTGAAGATGTGGAATGAGATGGCAGAAATATCTATCAAACATTTGAAACCAAATGATTGTATTTATGTTTCAGGTCATTTAGGATCATATACAAAAGATGAGAATGAAAATCTCAAAACATGTTACGAGGTTTGAAATGCTATTTCTATTCTAGCAATTGTGTTCACCCGTTTAGATTGTATATCTCCTTTTTGTTCACAATTGACATATATATATATATTCATTATCTTATATGTTCTCTGTAGCTAATTGTGAAGGAAATAAATTATGTTGTGCAACCTGGTCAAGGCCCAATTGAGAAGAAATATGAGGAATCAGATTCAGGAGGTACATTTCGCATCTATAGTTGGTGTAATATATGCTGTAATAATTTTCTGTTCCCACCTCCAACAGCCCTTGCAGAGCTTGGGCTTAAGAAGTACAAACCAAAAATTAAAGTATTCCTTTGGATGGAGCAGATTGACTTGAGGACTTAATTTAGACGACTTAGAAACGGCCTGGACAGGGCTTGCAAGAGTACACAGTTATATCATATAATTGTACCTAACTGGGATCGGTGAAACACTAAAGGTTGCAAGAGATAGCTGCCTCCCCTCAACTATTTTATTTTATTTTTTTGTGATAAATGCTGCCTACCCCTCAACTATAACTACATAGAAATTAGGACAACAAGTCACAAGTGCTGAAATACCATAATGCATGCGTGATTAATGTTGGATCCAAGTCACAAGTTGGATCCGTGGTTGGGTGGTTGGTGTCTAGTACTTATCATAATCCACACTACCTCTACAATAATATCTGTGCTTGTAAGTGTACAAATAGCTAACATCTGTAAGGGGGCAAAAGCCCTGATTTTGGCTCTTGGCTGTGGGAGCTAGTGAGCTATAAAGATTAATCCTTGGTAAGTTGTTACTTTTAATATAAAGAACCTGAGCTGAACTAGTTGTCCAACCTGAGTTTATTCAAGTTGATTTAGGTTTGAGAAATCAGTTGAGCTTTGGTGGAGCGAGCTTATTTATTTGGGCTGTGGCTGAACATCATAGGATTTTACATCAGCACCTGAGATAGAATTATCTTTAACTATCATTACCTTTTCTCTATCTTTTAATAATAATAATAAAAAATTGTAATTCATTTTATGTTTGAATGTACGTTTTCTTCCCCGCTCTGATCTCTATTCCTACCCTTTTTTTAATTTCAGGTGAAACTGTTTTAGAAAGGTACAAAAATCGCCTTCACTTGTGGCAAGTGTTCTTTGCCAACCCATCTGAATGGCTGGATAACAGAAAGAGAAAAACAAAGCTAAATCAACCAGATTTTAAGAACAAGGATAGTGGTGAAGCTCTCTGGATCAAACCCAATGATCCTTCATGGATTAAAATACAACTTCAACTGCATGATTCTAGGTTGGCATCGCGAGGCCACAGAGAAGATGCAAATTCTCGTTCTAGTTTGTCACCTTGGGTTTATGACGACTAGGAAGAAATCAGATTTCTAATAGAAGAACAAAATTTCAGTGTGAGCTTCAGTTTGCAACGGATAGTGTTTTTTTCGTCTGGTTGATTCTATCCTATCTTGCTATTGCGTCTTGCTGATATACAAAGTTTCAGTGATCTTGTTATATGGAGGCCTATGAAAGGAGTAAGAGTGATATCGAATTTCTGTTTTCCCTTGTGCATAATATATAGCTGTGCAGATTTCAATAGAAAAGATAGTTGATACTAAGGTACTGTTAACTACTCTTTGCTTCTATTACATACTGAAACTCAACTTTCTAGTACAGAGATCATTATTTACTACTAGTGGTGATTTACCATCAATACAATTATTATTATTATTTTTTTTGTCTTCTTTTGTACAATGGCCATTTATGCAACAGTATTCCCTCTCCTTCCTCGGGCAACGATGGTGATGAAAACGGGGTTGTGGTCTTAATTCTGTGAGCTAGTTTGCCTGTCACTACATTATTTGGTGGCCACATTAACTGGCATCATAATAAATGTAACACATAAAATATGTTTAATCAAAATTTAGAGAATAGGCAACTCTTCTCAAAATTAGAAAAAAATTCTTCACAAAATTACAATAAATGCATTACTTTTTTCTAATTGGTTTTGAATTACAATATATATATATATATTTTTCTTTTTTCTAATTGCTTTAGCTGGAGGGGAAGACAGGCCAGAGGTCCTCCATCCTTCCAATTTTTGTGTATCTTAGCTGGTCTTGTTTCTTGAGAAAGCAGTCCTGGCACCAGAATCAGCTGTACCACTTTGCATTGCATGAGAAAATGCTTGTATATGTATAAAAATTATATTAAAATATGTAAAAATTATATGTATCAAAATTTTAATCTTTTTTGGATATTATTTTATTCTAACCAACTTTTATTAGGTGGTCATTAGCAGGATTCTTAAAAAAACCTACGATACTACCAAGAAGCTTGACAATAATGCTATATTTACTATTTTTTTGTACTACATTTAATTTATCATTTTATAAATAAACTTTGTATAATTTTACCAAACAAGTTTTTATTTGAGTTTTTAAAATTTTTTAAAATATAAACAGAAAACTGAAAATGTAAGTGTTACCAAACAGCACCTATTTTTTTGTACTACATTTAATTTATCATTTTATGTGACACGTTTGTATCCGCTGATCATATGAACTACAAGATTATAGATGTTCTACAATAAAGCATAAGTTAAATGCGGAATGAAAGCGATGATAAATATAACATTATTAGAAGATCAAATGTGCGAGTCTCGACTAGTTGAGGAAATGTGATGGTCTGCCAGGAGCAAAACAACCAAAAGTTATGCACCGTCAGTGTTTGTATAAATGCCACAACAACAACATTCCCACATTCTTGGAACTAGAAACCCACTACGATTGCCTTCTACAATTCTGTAGTAGCTTGGTCACTCTCAAGCAAATCCACTCATCTCTCACAACCCGTGGCTTCATCAAACAAAGTTCTCATCTGGGTGCCAAGATCATCATCCAGTACTCCAAGTACGAACACCTAGACACTGCTCGCTCTCTGTTTGATGAAATCCACAATGGACCCAATTCTTTCCTCTACAACACAATGCTTCGCGCCTACGCAAATGGGGGTCACTATTCTCAGACTCTGTGTTAAAGTATACAATACAACACACACCAGCACACACCCACTAGCATCACATGTTCTGTTAATACAACACACACCAGCACACACCCACTAGCATCACATGTTCTGTTAATACAACACACACCAGCACACACCCACTAGCATCACATGTTCTGTTAATACAACACACACCAGCACACACCCACTAGCATCACATGTTCTGTTAATACAACACACACCAGCACACACCCACTAGCATCACATGTTCAGATCACACTGTAAAGCACACACCAGCACACAAGAAAGCTTAGTTTAATGTATTGTAATATACACTTCGGTCACCTTCTCCTCTCTATAAATAGAGAGAGCTCAGTCTCTTGTAATAGATAGAAATACAACAGACACTGAATATACATCACTGTCATTTCAGTCCTTCTCCTCTCTTTCATTTCAGTCTTTATTTATCAATGGGGAAGCAGTTTGAAGAGAAAACTAATGAGGAACTTCACTAAAATACATTACGTTTGAGGTGCAACTTCTAAAAGTTGCGATATGTAAGTGACATCCCTAGTTCTAGATGTTTGATGAGCATTTTTAATGTGAAAACATTTGCTCCTGAAATTTACAGTGTCTTCTACACCGGTCAGCTTTATCAATCCCTTTGTTTCAACCTCAAATAGGTTTCTATCTTCACACCTATTTGAGTTTGAGGGGGGGTTATACACAGTATCATGTATAAGTCGCTCATGGCGCACTGTGCATCACCACAACTGCTGCTACATCGGTCCGACATGACCCCGTAAACTGTCCTGCTACATCGGTCCGACATGACCACGTAAATTGTCCTGCTACATCGGTCCGACATGACCTCGTAAACCGTCCTGCTACATCGGTCCGGCATGACCCCGTAAACTGTCTGCTACAACGGTCCGACACGACCCCATAAACTGTCTTCTACATCGGTCTGACACGACCACACAGTGTCCTGCTACATCGGTTCGACATGACCTCGTAAACTGTCTGCTACAACGGTCCGACACGACCCCATAAACTATCTTCTACATCGATCTGACACGACCACACTGTGTCTCCTACAACGGTCTGACACGACCATACCGTGTCTCCTATCCTGTTTTATTTTATTTTTCTGTTTTGTGACTCTCTCCAAACTCAAGTTGGCTAGTACCTATCCTCCTTGAATTTGCGGGGGGCTGTTAAAGTATACAATACAACACACACCAGCACACACCCACTAGCATCACATGTTCTGTTAATACAACACACACCAGCACACACCCACTAGCATCACATGTTCAGATCACACTGTAAAGCACACACCAGCACACAAGAAAGCTTAGTTTAATGTATTGTAATATACACTTCGGTCACCTTCTCCTCTCTATAAATAGAGAGAGCTCAGTCTCTTGTAATATATAGAAATACAACAGACACAGAAATATAGAGTTATTCATTTTGCTCTCTCTCTCTTTATCAATTTATCTTACACTCTGGAGCTGTATTTGCTCATGCAAAGAACTCGTATCCGACCCAACAACTACACTTTCCCTTTCGTGCTCAAAGCATGCGCTTCTCAATCTTTGTCCCCACACGGAAAGTTGGTTCATGGAGATGTTATAAGAGCTGGGTTCGATTCGGATATGTATGTTGAGGCTGCTCTGGTGGACATGTATGCAAAATGCGGCTTGATTGATGATGGTCGCCAGGTGTTTGATAGAATGTCTAAGAGGGGCCTGGTTTGCTGGACAGCAATGATCACGGCGTATGAGCAGGCTGAGCGAGCCAAGGACGCGTTGATTTTGTTGGAGAAGATGCAGCAAGAGGGGCTGTTTATGGATTCTGTTGCGGCTGTGAGCATTTCCTCGGCTGTTGGTCAATTGGGAGATGCCAAAATGGCCAAATCAGTTCATGGGTATGTCATCCGTAATGCCTTCCTCGAAGATTTATGCACGGGGAATGCGATTATTGCCATGTATGCTCAGTGTGCGGATGTAGAAAAGGCACGTTTGGTGTTCAATTGCATGGAGGAAAGAGATGGGATATCGTGGAATTCTATGCTTTCGGCCTATACCCAAAATGGACTAGCTAGTGAAGCATTGTTACTTTTTGACCAAATGCAAGATTTCGGTGTTAAAACTAATCCTGTGACAGCATTGATCATGGTTTCTGCGTGTGCTTATCTGGGATCCCGTCAACATGGGAGGAGACTCCATAGTCTTATAATTGATCTCAAGATAGAACTTGATGTGATGCTTTGGAATGCAATCATCGACATGTACGCCAAATGTGGAGATTTAGACACTGCTGTTGAAATATTCAGGAACAATAATCCCAGTAACAGGGATGTTAGTTCTTGGAATGTGTTGATATTGGGGTATGGCATGCATGGGTTCGGGAAAGAAGCACTGGAACTCTTTTCACAGATGCAAAAAGAAAGTGTTGAACCAAATCACATCACTTTCACATCCATTCTCTCTGCTTGTAGTCATGCTGGCCTTATCAATGAAGGTAGGAAGTGTTTTGCAGAAATGACTAAATTCTCTGTGATACCTGAGGCAAAACACTATGCTTGCGTGGTTGATATGCTTGGCCGGGCAGGGCTTTTGTATGAAGCTTATGATTTGATCAAAACAATGCCTTCACGGGCAAATGACGGGGTATGGGGTGCATTGCTTTTGGCTTGCAGAATCCATGGAAACAATGAGTTAGGTGAAATTGCAGCCATTAATTTGTTCCAGCTTGAGCCAGAACATTCTGGATACTATGTGCTAATGTCAAACCTATATGTAGCATCGAGCAAATGGCAAGAAGTTGGGAAACTGAGACAAGATATGAAGAGTCGAGGATTGAGGAAAACCGCCGCATTCAGTGTGATAGAGTTTCGTAAAATGGTTTCCACACTGCAGATCAGATGAATCCGTACTGGAGAGAAGTTTATAGAGAAGTAGAGAGATTGGCAATTGAGATGAAGATGGCGGGGTATGTGCCCGATCAGTCCTGTGTGCTGCATGATGTCGAAGAGGAAGACAGAGCATATTCTCAACTATCACAGTGAGAAGCTGGCTGTGGCATTTGGACTCATGAAGATTGACCCGGGAATTGCAATTCATGTGACCAAGAACCTACGAGTTTGCAATGATTGTCATTCAGCGTTTAAACTTATGTCACGTATTTATGGAAGAAAAATCATTGTCAGAGATGCAAATCGTTTCCATCACTTTCAAGAGGGCTTATGCTCATGCAAGGATTACTGGTAAGTGCATGGCCTGTGGCTAGAGATCTAACAAAGATATCTGTTTGAGATATTTTCATGGAACTTGATCATACAGCAAGGCCTAATCTTTAATGGATTCAATCTAGTGGCTACTTGCTGTTGCTGGTGTTATTTGGAAAAAGGACTAGAGAAGTGCAGATCTATTTATAATGAGGCGCTAAATGGAGGAATTTTTCTGCTGACCAAGAACCAGTTTACACAAGGCATTCAGGAGGATGACATTTTGGCCTATGTATGTCATTGTTTGTGCAGTTGTGTCCTCAATTAGCACCAGAGAAATATGGACCAGAAGCACATAATTTCATATTTAGAAATTGCAGTAAAAATGTGACAAATAAAAGCCAGAAGCACATAATTTCCGAAAATGATGATCTTGGTCTTCTACTTCTTGTCAACTGTCGACTTTTGGCATGTAGTAGTCTGTATCTGAAGCACTGGATTTGGCAGTGTTGTGGTGGAATGTATGAATCGTGGCGAAATTATCCTTGGAAGCGGAAGAACTGCTAAAACTCCGCGAAACCCTCACAAGGGTCTATGTACAATTAGCTCATCAACATTTTCTTTTTATGCTAATTTGAGCAGAACCCATTCAAACACCCAGTTGCACGGCACGAGTTACTTGGAGTTTGACGTGGGGATTACAAATGAGTGCTCAGTTCGGGGTTTGAGAGCTATGAGCTGCAACTTTATTACGAGAGTGTTTGGAAAATTGTTATTTTAATAGGCTATTTTAGTTTTTGACTATTTTAGTAGGCTAAAATTTTTGTGTTTGGAAAGATGATTGGATTTTTTTGTAGTTATATGTGATGTTTGTGAGAAAAAAAATAAAATGATTATGAGTTTGATGCAATATTTTGTCTTATTAGCTATTTTAACCTATTTTTTCTTTTTACGAATTTTAACATAAAAAAAACTAAAATAGCCGTTGTCAAACACCACCATTCACAACAGCAGGTGGTACAAGACTTCCCTACATCAATATTTTCTTGAAGTCTATTTTCTAATGTGCTCATCATTTTTTTTAATTGCTGTCCCCTCTCAGGTTACAATCTTTGATGAGGCAGGTTTTTAGGCATACATATATTTGCATTTGATAATGGGATTGTTCTTTTTAAATTCAACGAAGCTGATGGTGGAATAATAGAAAAATCAGGTAGTCAGTGGCATTGCGATGAAACTGGTGGAAGTTTTACTATTTAAGTTTTTTAGGGTGATAATGTATTAAAATGCAGGTCCAATTGCAGTATCTCAAAGTCGTGGACTAAGGTGAATGAATAAAGAAATATTGTTCGGTACTGGGAACTAAATGAAGTTCAAATGTTGAAAATAAATAAATAATAAATAAAAATGAAGCTTAGGTGGGAGGAGATTTGTGCTTTGTTTTTCCGGTTTAATAATTATTAAAAGTAGTATTTTTCTCCTATTTAAGTGGCACATTTTAAAATTTTATTTTTTTAAAAAAAATTCACATCTGCATACATTTTCTATTAACATATAAAATTCTACATAAACTCAATTTTAATTATAATAACTAATTTTATATATACTCTATTTGAGAAATACTTATTTTTCATAGATATAATTATAATTTAATTATTGTGATTTTGAAAAAAATTATCTTGATATACAAATAAATAAATAAGACAGAATGTACTTAATTATGCGGATCAAATTTATATATTTTTATCTATCTTATTGATGTCTTATTAATTTATAATTTAACAGAATAAAAAGTGTACTATACAGCATTGTACTATAAGTTTCCAAAAACTTACTTAAAAAGTTTTAAATTACTTTTTATTTATTTATTTATTTTTTACAATTACTAAAAACAAAAAACTTTAATTTATTCCAAGTAGGGGGGGTTACGATGGTCATTTTGACAGTCAACGTGCGTGACATTTGGGTTGATGGGACAACTTGAAGGGCTTCAATCGCTTTTCTGGTCTCAAAAGCGATGTCTTTTGGGTCAACGTCTCGCAAATCTTTAGTTAGAATTTGAGGAAATTATAAAGTTTATCACAAGTTTTGTTTTCATAAGTTAAATTATTTATTATTTAATTTTTTTTAATTAAAATATTATTTAATTTTTTTAATTAAAATATTTATATAATAAATTAAGATAGTTAAATATTAATATATTTAAATCAAATTTATATTATAAAAAATGAATAATTATTCTTTAAATTATATTTTTGTTCATTTTGAAAAAAAAATGATTAAAATATATGATTACTGATATCCAATTATATTAATTTTTTGCATGAATATATTCTACTCAGCGAATTCAAAAAAAAAAATAACTCAAATTATCGAAATCAGTCTTAAAATAAGACTTTAAAAAAAGGGTAAATTACACAAATAGTCCCTATAATTTGGAGCTTGTGTTACTTTGGTCCATAACTTTTCAATTTTGACACATTTGACCATGAATTTTGAATCTTATTCCAAATAATGACAATTGAAAATATCATTAAATTTTTCAAGAATAAAATTGTCAATTTGATAAAATATAAACTAATTTGACAAAAATAAATGCCAAACAAATATTTTTGAATTTTTAAAAATTATTTCTACCTACTATAAATAAAATTATGTAAAACTGATAAATTTTTTAGACATTTATTTATTTTTTACCAAATTAATTTTTATTATGTGTTTAGATGATGATCATGTAAAATTAATTTTAAAAAATTAATCATGTAAGTTTTATTAATTTTATATAAATTTATCATAGTTGGATAAAAATAATTTTAAAAAAATTAAAAATATTTTTTTGACATTTATTTTTGTCAAATTAATTTATATTTTATCAAATTGACGATTTTACTCTTAAAAAATCTAATGATATTTTCAATTGTCCTTATTTGGAACAAGATTCAAAATTCATGGTCAAATGTGTCACAATTGAAAAGTTAAGGACCAAAGTGACACAAATCCCAAACTATAAGTACTATTAGGGTAATTAACCCTTACAGAAACTAAACCCAATTATCTTTAGCCCTTGTTAGGTAATGTTAGTTTTTAATTAAAAAGATAAAAATTATTAAAAATTGTTAAATTAGTTTTTTTTTAATACATTTTTTAATTTTTTTATTTTTTTTTGTATAAAATGAAAAAAGGGGCATTTAAACACAAGTCTAATTTATGAACTTATATTTCATTAAGTCCTAAGTAAGATTTTTTAAATCTTTAAGTCTCATTAAATTTTTAATAGTTAGAATTGTCCTTCAAATAATGATTGTTTATCATTTATGATCTATAAAAGAATATAATGACTTGACATTTATTTTGAATTTCAAAAATTTAAAATATCAACTTTCAAATTGAAAAAATTATCCCAAAAAAAAATTTGTGTTTTTTTGAAAAAATTGAAAAATTGATTTTTTTTGTACAAAATTGAAACTTTTGTATCTATAAAAAAGCATGATGATGGAACATCGATGTGCAAAATTGAAAAAAAAAAAAAAACTTTGAAAATGAAAATTTTGATAATGTTTTTAGTTTTAAAACTGAAAAAAATTATTAATATTCTTGATTTTATTGGATAGTTGAATTAAACCAATAAGTAAAAGGGTATTGCTATGCAAAATTGATAATATTTTTAGTTTTAAAACTTTTTAAAAAAATTGATAATATTCTCAATTTTACTAAATAAGACTTATTAGTTCAAAATTTTATCCTAAATTTTATTGTAATTGCCATGTTCTTTTCTTTTTTTTGGGAGGAATAAATTACAAACATACCTCTTGAGATTTATTTAAAATATAAATTATTTTCTGTGATTCTTAAAATTAAATCATGTCTCTTGAGATTTCTAATTTAATAATAAATCGTCTATTTTATTAATAAATTATCAAATTAATTAACGATTTTTAACGATATTAAAATTTTATTTTAATTAATAATTCAAGTAATTTTATTATCATATAGGAAGAAAATTATAAATTTTATTTTTTAATTAATCTTTTTAAATAAAAAATTAAGTTAAAGTAATATTTATAATTTTTTAAATTACTTCTGTATTTTAAATAAATATCAGGTAATACATTTATAATTTATCATTTTTTTAATGCATTTATTTCAACATTTAAAATAATTGCTTTGGGCTATCGGTGGAGGATAGTCTTGATTGTTGTAGACATTGTATGTTGATTAAGTAAAACTGAAACTAATCACATTGAATATGTCATTGAATATGACGGTTGAATTAATACAACTGGGGAAATTAAAAAAAAAATAAAAAAAATAATTTATTAATTTCTTGATTTATTTATGTTACATTATTTTTTTACTCTTTATATATATATTTTTTGTAATAAGCATAAAATTACCTTTTTTAGATTTCTCAAAACAACCCTATAATTGGAATAATTGTATTTGGACAATAAAAAAATAATTATATTAGTGATTAAAATATTTTATAATGCAAACCCCATATATAGAGAAAAAAAAAAATTACATTATGTACATAAATGAACTTGCCCTACACAGACTTATATCTCAAGAAAATAATTTTTTTTTCCACTTATTTGAGATTTCTCCAATCTAATTTCCTCCACCATCCGCCATGATTTGCTTCAATGTCCGAAAAACACTTAGCATTTCTTGTCCCTATTCGAAAGACTTCAACAAGTCTTACATTTGGTTTGATTTGGCACAGTAAAAAAATTGTTTTGTTTTGTTTTTTTAATGTTTGCATTACTGGTGGGCGTCAAAGTTCTTTATGAAAAGATGTTCGTAGATTGAAATGATTTCTCTTTTTTAATTAGTGCCTTTGAAATGGAACATATATGCCATGGACCAAACTCCGACCACTAGTGTTGAATTCCAGAGGCAATGGGGTTTCATTTCATGCATGGTGATGGTCATCTTATTCCTATAATTATATAATTATGATTATTAAATTAATTTATAAATAAATATATCAAATCATTATAATGGAACTCTCGATAGACTAATATGCCTGAATTACACTTTCATTCATAGGAGAGAAGTCATCACCTTTGTATAAGATCTTGCATTTTGTAGTTAATTTTAAACTACTATTGTGTGCCTTATGATGGCCACCCGACTAACCTTTTTATTTATTTTTTTCTTGAAGAAAAATAATATTTATCATTGAATGAATTTTATCATTTAAAAAAAAAATCATAATAAATGTTATGTATATATGTAAAATTTACTCTATTTGTGTAGGTTCACACAATACTTTTGTGAGAGTCTCACACCCTATCACAAGTGCGCTTGTTTTTTTATTTTTTTTTACATGGAATCTTCTCGAAATATGACAATATTAGATCCATTCCTACAAAGTAAATCCAGAATATACTGATGAGAGTTGAACACAAAAAACTTAAATTTACAATTCATCACAAGGTTCAATTTAATATTTTTTACTTTTTTTTTAGGGATATTATATGCGGATATGAAATTTATTGGGTGGATTCATTCATAAGAGTGAAAAAATAGTGTAAGTAATATATGACATTTTTTTCCCCTCTCCAATAGCTATGGGTAGAATTTCTAGACTAAGAAGATGTCCCTCTAGAAAAACCCGTCTAGAGTTGAGAGTTGAATTTATTCACAAGTTTTTGACACAATTAACTGCATGTTAGAAATAAGAAATTTTTGATAGAACAAATATTGTAATAATAATAATAATAATAAACTAAAATTAACAAAATAAATATTAATAAATTTTTTTAAAACAATTTGTAAAGTGATTTAGACACTTAGTCTTCGTTTGGGAAGAGCTAAAATAATCTGACTTTCTGGCTATTTTAGCCTCGCTTGATTTTTGTTTTTGATTTTTTTAACTTTTGTAAGAGAAAAAGTGTAATGATTGTGATTTGTATGTGATATTTTGTCTTATTGACTTATGTAGTCAATTTTGTCTTTTGTGTTTTTTTAGCCAAAAATCCCTTGTCAAACATAGCATTAGAATCGCAGTCTTGTTATACATTTCCTTGAATTGAATGATATTCCCTTTTAAGAATACAATAATAACTTTCAAATGTATTGATTTTAATAAAAATGTATATTAAATTTAGACAATTATAGAAAAATGATATCAATATAAAATAATTGTAAAGTGGTGAAAAATAATTTATGAATTACATTGTGCATCACTTGATAATACTGTTACCCTTTTTTTTATTTTTTATTTTTGCAATTGTTGCTATTAAATTGAGTGAAAAATAGATCATGTTATTATTAGAGGGAAAACTAAAAAAATACTATAAATCTTAAATAATTTATTAAATTTCTCATAATTGTAAGATTTACATGTGAGTTCCATACTATATAAAGAATTTGGTATAATGTTTGAGATCCTAGCACGTGCCTTTGGAGCCGAATGATCCCTACTGCAGGTCGGCAAGTGAGCAGTGGATGTTGCTTCTAGTCTGGATGCCAAGGCAGCAGTACAGGCCGCAGTCCGGTGGCCAAAATTTTTTTATTTTTTTTATTTTTTATGATGTCTTAATTTATTTTTTGAAGTTATAATTAAAAATTCGTGAAAGGAAACGCTGAATATGCTTTAATAATATTTTGCGCGTGTCCGGGGTCACTTTCGGCAATTAACTTCAGGGCAATGATACATTCCACTAAAAGTGGTGCTCTAAAGCACCACTAATGAGTTGACAACCACTTTAACTAAAAAAAAAATTATTTAAAAAATAGTTTTTAGTTCAATTTTTCGAACACATACTTTCTAATATCCGATCAACTTGATTTTTTACAGGTATGATATACTGAATAAATCATAAAATATGAACGGTTCGGATTATTAAAATTTGGCCTAAAAGTAGACTCGAAAGCTTGTAAGGACTGGCACAAATACCAAACTGCAAGGAGAGAACCATGGCTCGTTGCTTCTAGTCTGGATGCCAAGGCAGCAGTACAGGCCGCAGTCCGGTGGCCAAATTTTTTTTATTTTTTTTATTTTTTATGATGTCTTAATTTATTTTTTTAAGTTATAATTAAAAATTCGTGAAAGGAAACGCTGAATATGCTTTAATAATATTTTGCGCGTGTCCGGGGTCACTTTCGGCAATTAACTTCATGGCAATGATACATCTCACTAAAAGTGGTGCTCTAAAGCACCACTGATGAGTTGGCAAGCACTTTAACTAAAAAAAAAAAAAAAAAACACAAGACACAAGCAGTGGATCCCGTCCACTGCTACATCACTAGTGGTGCTTTTAGAGCATCACTTTTAGTGGTGTCAAGCGTTATTGTTAACTTCAACTTCAAACTAACTTTTGAAACAGCCAGGGACTATTCAGTAATTTAACTCATCACCATCGTCCTCCCGCATCATTTTCCTCTATAAAGGGCGTGACCAAATTTCGACTTTCTTACTGCTCACTACGCAACAGAGACACCAACCAGGCATAGATGGCGGTAACGGACTTCTTCGCCGGCGAAATCGCCACCGAACTCATGAAAATGCTAATCCAAATCTCCAGCAGAGCTTGCCTCTGCAAATCCAGTGCCGAGCAACTCCGATCCTCCATCGAAGAACTCCTCCCCATAATCCAAGAAATCAAGTACTCCGGCGTCGAACTCCCTCCGGCACGGCAGCGCCAGCTCGACGCCCTCTCCGAAACCCTCCGCAACGGCACAGAACTCGCCACCAAAGTCCTCAACTCCGGCCGCTGGAACGTCTACAAGAACTTGCAGTTGGCTCGAAAGATGGAGAAGCTCGAGAAGAACGTCTCGAGGTTTTTGCAGGGTCCGATGCAGGCTCACATGCTCGCCGATGTGCACCACCTGAGGTTCGAGACTGCGGAGCGGTTCGATTGGCTCGAGAACTCGGCTCGGCGGCTGGAGCAGCGGCTCGGATCCTTGAAGATTGGGGTTGGCGGCGGCGGGTGGTTGGAAGAGGCGGTGAAGAGGGTGGAGGAGGAGGAGGAGAGGTACGAGGGTAGTTTCGTGAATTTCGGGGTTGGGATGGATTTGGGGAAGAGGAGAGTGAAGGAGATGATTATTGGGAGAGACGATTTGAAGGTTGTTGGGATCTCTGGGATTGGTGGTAGTGGAAAGACGACTCTGGCTCGAGAGATTTGCAGAGACCCTGAAGTTCAAAGTAAGTATATATCTATTTTTGTATATCTATAACTATGTATGTATCAAATGACTCATGTTTGGTTGCTGCGAAAATGGACTCAAATCAGCTCAGCAAATAGTCCTCAATTTTCTTTGAAGATTGAATTGTTATACCAACATAAATCAGTATACTACAAGTGTTTGGTTCATATGAGTATATTCTTTGTGAAAGACCTATGTTTGACTCTGCTAATTAATGTTTTTCAGGTTATTTTAACAACAGAGTTTTCTTCCTGACTGTATCGCAATCTCCGAATGTGGAGCAATTGAAGCTCAAGATTTGGAGAATGATAACAGGAAATGAAATGGTTGGTTCTAGTGATATGATTCCACAATGGACCTTACAATATGAATTCAGTATTGTTGTGAAAACACTAGTGATTCTAGATGATGTTTGGTCGGTCTCAGTGCTAGAACAGCTCATTTCCAGAATCCCCGGATGCAAAACCCTCGTGGTTTCCCGGTTTAAATTCTCTTCATCTGTCATCGACCGCACCTATGAGATAGAGCTGTTGAGGGAAGACGAATCCTTGTCATTGTTCTGCCACTCTGCTTTTGGGCGAAATTCCATTCCTTTTGGGGCTAACGAGAACTTGATCAAGCAGGTAACATTTAACGTGCTAAGCTTTATCCTTTTCTATTAACTGTTTTCTATTGCTGATTGAAAACGCTCTCAATAGGTTGTTGATGAATGCAAAAGGCTCCCATTGGCTCTGAAAGTAATCGGAGCTTCGTTAAGGGACCAGCCTGAGAAGTTTTGGACAAGTGCAAAGAATAGATTATTGCGAAGCCAACCTATTTGCGAGTCCCATGAAGTCCAATTGCTTGAAAGAATGAAATTAAGTATCGATTACTTGAAAGAGAAGGTTAGGGAGTGTTTCTTGGACTTGGGTTCTTTTCCGGAGGACAAGAAGATTCCACTTGATGTTCTCATCAGCATATGGGTTGAATTGCATGATATTGATGAGGAAGAAGCTTTTGCAATTCTTATCGAGCTTGCTGACAAGAATCTCCTCACCCTGGTGAAAGATGCACGGTAATTGAAGTTATTTTCTGCTGTCAATTATTCAATTTCTGGACCATGAAATGCTTTGCTTAATAAGTTGTTTGGTTGATTTTATCAAATATTTGTGTTTAATAAACTTTCAATTTGTCAATTTGGCAGGTCTGGAGATATGTACAGCAGTTACTATGAGATCTCTGTCTCTCAGCATGATGTTTTGAGAGACCTTGCTATTCATTTGAGCAACCGCGAGAGTATAAATCAGCGAAGGCGGTTGCTTATGGCAAGAAGAGAGACGGGGATCCCAAAAGAATGGGAGAGGAATATCGATAAGCCATTCAATGCCCAAATTGTTTCGGTGCATACAGGTATTATGGTATTGCCATTCATATTGTTGAATTCTTTGCAGAATAATCTTGTTTCAATAGTGATACAAGACATCCACATTTTAACCAAATCGAATGGCCTCGGTGTATATGAATGTCGAGGAATAGTTAATTAAAACAAGAATAATTGACAATAAGCAAAGATGTACTAGCAAAAGTTGGAATAATTGCTTATTCGATAACCAAGTATTTATAGCCTCCTGAATCGAAATCAATTTTTTTTGCTTTGTATGCTGACATTGTCGACACGCTGCAACACAGGTGAAATGAGTGAAATGGACTGGTTTTGTATGGAATTTCCTAAGGCAGAAGTACTCATCCTGAATTTCGCCACGAGTGACTATTTCCTCCCTCCCTTCATTGAAAACATGCCCAAGCTCAGAGCATTAGTATTGATTAACTATAGCACCTCAAATGCAGTTATTCACAACTTATCAGTGTTTTCAAATTTGATCCACTTGAGGAGTCTCTGGTTTGAGAAAATCTGTGTCCCTCACTTACCCAAAACAACACTACCCCTAAGGAACTTGCGTAAAATATCCTTAGTTCTTTGCAAGATCAACAATAGCCTCGATCAGTCGGTTGTAGACCTACCCAACCTTTTCCCTCAACTCTCAGAGCTCACAATGGATCACTGTTTGGATTTAACCATGTTGCCTCCAAGCATTTGCCAGATGCGCAAACTCAAGAGTCTGAGCGTCACCAACTGCCACAGTCTCTATGAACTTCCAGCTAACTTGGGTAATTTGAACTCTCTACAAATTCTTAGGATATATGCATGCCCTACTCTGAGAAATCTTCCTCCCGGACTTTGCAATCTGGTTCGATTGAAGTACCTTGACATTGCGCAATGTCTAAATTTGGCATCCCTTCCTGAGGAGATTGGCGGGTTAAAAAGTTTGGAAAAGATTGATATGAGAGAGTGTCCACAAATTAGGTATCTGCCAAAGTCTGTAGTGGCATTGCAGGCATTGCGTGTTGTGATTTGTGACGAAGAGGTTTCTTGGTTGTGGAAAGATATGGAGAAGGCTATGCCAGATCTTTGTGTTCAAGTTGCTGAGGAATGCTTTAACTTGGACTGGCTTGCAGAGTGAAACATGTATCAAAAACCTTACGCGCACAGGAGGTTTTTGGTGCATTCTGTTCGTGTAACGTTCTGTGTGCGTATCATTTATGTAAATATCTTATCACCCCTTTCTGGTTAACATTTTTTATTTTTCTGCATGTTTAAACTAGTTATAGCAAACTGAAGTAGAAAGTTGGTTGGCTACTCACTTTCTCTTTTCTTTCTGGGTTCTTGTGAAATAAAATGTAACCGATTTGCCCTTTTTGGATTCAACTCTTGTTGGTGTCTTTCAGATTTAGCTGGTACTTGTGATTCCTGAGTAATTACTGTGGTACAAATTGTGTATTTAAATAAGATAAACATATTCATCTGCAATTAAATTTATATTACAGAATAAGAAATCATGAATCTAAATCATGGTAGAGGTTACAACTTAATGAACAAAAATATTTAACAAAATAAAATATTGAAATAAAATAGTAAAAGGAAGCAAACAGAAATCTGTGTGATGTCTGTTGGCTTTTTGGCTTGCGAAGGTTATTTTTGTAATTGCGAGCGTGCCAGTAAGGATCAATCAGTCCTTACAGAAAATTAATTGCCAACCAATTATCAGACGATTGTGTTTTAATTCTTTCAGCCTCAATGAAAAGAACTTTTACTGGTGGCTTGATTTAGGAGAATTAAACAAGATAACAATTAAATGAAGAACAATTTGAAGCATTTCATTAAAATGAAAACTTACAATGATTCATACTCAGCCTCGTAGAGGTTTACAGCAACACTCTACTACTTGAAACTACTCCTATGAACGAAGTGTAGTGCAGAAATTTAAAGTACAGGAATGTAAAGTACAGGAAACGTAAGACTGAAAATGTAAAACTGAAAAGGAAAATAAGCAGAATAAGATTGGTTTTTTGGATTTGAGTCTGGGGCCTTTTTTGTGGGCCTTCTCTGCTATTTATACTTCTCAAGGATGACCATCGAACTGTATTTCTAACAGTCGAACTGTTTCTCCATAATCGCTGATCATGTTGCCTTATAATTAGCTCCACTATGCTGTCACTTGCAGTTAGGCTTCCCTCTTAATTTTTGAATTTAAATGTGAGTAACCGTTGAAGCCACATCACCTTGCATCTCTTTGTTGATCAACTATTACTCAGATCTCGTAATAACCAATACTAACTGCCACGTGTACGATCAAGATCGAAGACTTGAATAGTCTTCCGGTATTACCCTTATTCTGCCACGCGTCGAATTGTAATTGGCTTGTACAAAATATGTAGCCAACATTACCCCCCGCACTAATATACCCAATACTTGGTGATATTAGTGGATCTAGGTCTTTTACCCACGTCTTAGAACGTGCATGGGCTTTGCATTCTTCCAGAAGTGCAACTGTCATTCATCATCTGCATTAAATTCTCCTTCAATCTTTTGAATGCCCCCACCACCTTAGTATTCGAACAGGCTGATATATATTTTTTATGGCCGAATCGATTTTCACCTCCATTGATCGAGCACATATAGAGTCATCTGATGATGCTGTTTCTCCTCGAAAGAACCACCATGCATTAGTTAGCCACCTTTACCTACCTTTCTATATTCAGGTCATGGATGCCTTTGCAAATTATCAACCCTTGGACTACGAACACATTGCCCTTAATCCTTTGATTCAGAAACTTACAAATATGGACATGGGAAGTTCTTCTTCTGATTCTCCCTTGGACTACGAACGAATTGCTCTCAACCCTTTGATTCAGAAAGTCACAAATATGGACATGGGAAGTTCCTCTTCACAACCGTCTGCATGGGATGCGGCTTCTTCTTCCTCTGGGGCTTCTGACTGGGCAAGTTGGTCGAAACCTGAAGCCTATGATCTGAGGGAGCGAATTAACCATCATTTCGTCGAGTTCACTGATCCTTTAGAGCTTCTTTCCTATGCGCGAAGCTCGGTGGTTTATCCTTACGTGCCCATCGACCGACGACGCAGTTTGGAAGAGAATCTGCTTGTAGCATGGTATATATCCTCCATGCCTACAAAGATAGTGCACGCTGCCCAATGCCCATAAGGGGCACAAGGGTACAATCCAACGTTCTTAGCTCAGAAGGCCAAGCTTTGCTCTTCTGACTGGCTCGATTATATTAATGCCCTTGTTCCTTCTGCCCTTGCTCCTTCTCCCGACATGGAAGCTCCCATACCTCATTCTCCACAAAATCCTTGCTGGACAGAGAGACTGAGGCTTGCCCTCTCTGCGGATAAGGTCTTTTCTCCTTACAAGACTCCACCTTCCCCTACTCCAGCTGAGCGGAAGCAAGCCCAATTTCCGCTTGCGGCCTTCTCTCATTTGCCTTTCAATGTTCTTGAGAATGATGCTCCTCTTAAGAACCTTCGATGGGCTTGTGATATCCTGACTCGGGGTCACGTCCTCAACCCCCTCGCCCAAGCAGAACTTCATATGTTTTTGGACCAACTTCCGCTGCTTCTTCATTGGCATCGAATTTCTGTGGCCACCACTCAATCTTTGGACCAACTCTCCGCCCTTCGAATTCATGCCCAGTACGAAGCAGAGAACTTCATTGAAAAATTCGATAACTTCAAGAATAAAGACTCTGCGTACTGGGATGACTTAGATATAGATGAGTTAGAACAAGAATGGAGAGAAACAGTATTCGAAATAAAGGCTGAAGAGCTCTTTTATGAAGTGAGAGCACATCAACTTATACAGCCAATCCTAGAAGAAATAGAGGATAGAATAAAGAAAAAACAAAAATTCATTGATCATAGTTGGACCAAGTTTCATGATCTTGTTATTTATTCTATTCCTTACTTTTATGAACTTGAATTTGTACCAAAAAAGGGCCATTCGATGTAATTGCTTTTGCTTTAATACAACTAAGACTTTTCTATTTGTTTGGCATTGTTTGGTCTTGTCTCCGTTTGTCTTTAAAAGCAAATTTAGGGCTTCGAATTGCACAATCTTATCCTTTGAATCTGGATTTACTTGTTTTAAATGAAACACTAACAAAAATGAACGCGAACTTTTCCAATTTATGGAATGCAGTTGATAGTTTTTGCTGATTTTTCATTCATAATCCGTGCTTCGAATCTAACAATCTTGCCCCTTAAAATTTGTTTCAATTATAACCAAATATATGGTCATGATTTAGTATGATCAATCAGTTTTAAATTGACCATTTTGCTTTGAACAACAGTCCATACTTTCAAAAATATGGAAGCTCCTTTTGAGGGCTACACTGTTTTAGTCTGAAAAAACAATCTTTTCTGAATATATATAAACCAACTATTGTGGCTTCGATGGGCTTGTGATATTCTGACTCGGGGTCACGTCCTCAACCCCCTCTCCCAAGCAGAACTTCATATGTTTTTGAACCAACTTCCGCTACTTTTTCACCGGCATCGAACTTCTGTGGCCACCACTCAATCTTTGGACCAACTCTCCGCCCTTCGAATTCATGCCCAGTACGAAGCAGAGAACTTCATTGAAAAATTCGATAACTTCAAGAATAAAGACTCTGCGTACTGGGATGACTTAGATATAGATGAGTTAGAACAAGAATGGAGAGAAACAATATTCGAAATAAAGGCTGAAGAGCTCTTTTATGAAGTGAGAGCACATAAACTTATACAGCCAATCCTAGAAGAAATAGAGGATAGAATAAAGAAAGAACAAAAATTCATTGATCATAGTTGGACCAAGTTTCATGATCTTGTTATTTATTCTATTCCTTACTTTTATGAACTTGAATTTGTACCAAAAAAGGGGCCATTCGATGTAATTGCTTTTGCTTTAATACAACTAAGACTTTTCTATTTGTTTGGCATTGTTTGGTCTTGTCTCCGTTTGTCTTTAAAAGCAAATTTAGGGCTTCGAATTGCACAATCTTATCCTTTGAATCTGGATTTACTTGTTTTAAATGAAACACTAACAAAAATGAACGCGAACTTTTCCAATTTATGGAATGCAGTTGATAGTTTTTGCTGATTTTTCATTCATAATCCGTGCTTCGAATCTAACAATCTTGCCCCTTAAAATTTGTTTCAATTATAACCAAATATATGGTCATGATTTAATATGATCAATCAGTTTTAAATTGACCATTTTGCTTTGAACAACAGTCCATACTTTCAAAAATATGGAAGCTCCTTTTGAGGGCTACACTGTTTTAGTCTGAAAAAACAATCTTTTCTGAATATATATAAACCAACTATTGGTCTTGATGTTTCGAACACCAATTCTCATCCTTAAGAGATCTCAAGTTTTGCTTCGAATGACATTACTTTCATTGAGAAACCTGAAACAGGTCTTTAATCCCTTTGAAATAAACAAATACTTGAGCATTCTTATATCCATAGGTATGAAATGTACTTCGAAGCCGGCTTCTCAGTTTTGAAGCCGTTTATTATTTGAGTTTTGGCGCCAAAATCTGGTTTCGAAGCCAAATACTATACTTCGAAGCTGGCCTCAACATCGGGGTGTGTTTTTCCCTCCAAAAGTATCAATATTGAAGGAAGCTCTTCGTATTTGTACTTTTAATACTTAAAGAATTACGCGATACATTTTTCAAACACAAAGTTTTTGTTAAAACCCTTTTATTTCGTGTTTTGAAATCACTCGCTCGTCTAACACGCAAACCCTTTATCTCTACCGACTCTCTACTCCCTTTCCTAACTTCATCCTCTGAGAAAGATTTCAATCAATGGTTTCTTCTTCATTGAAAGTACCAGTCGTAGAGCGCGCGAGCCCGTCTGTAACCCTAAAAAGGATCATTGAGGCAGAATGTGAAAAGTACAAGGCCGGTGATAAAAGCGCCATCGATGGACGCATCTTCATCCCTCGACGTCATGAGCAACAAGACTATGTGTTTGGGCCCATCTTCAAGGAGATTCTTACTGAGCTTCCAGCGTTCTATCCACGTCTAGAAGACCACTGTCTTCTTTACGAAGGTGGTCTTAATTGGGGTACCTGGAGGATGAACCGTCCCCACCGATGCTGGCCCACAGTAAGATCAGAGTGGCAAGAATGGTACGATCGGGTTGTCCCTGCTAGGACTTTGGACCTTCAAGAGCTCTGCCTTCTCGATGCCCTTCGACTATCCAGGTTTACCATCTCAGAGGACCCTTTCCTAATTCCTGCTGCCTTGTGTTTTTGGAATCCTATCTTTGATTTCTTCCAATTTAGATGTGGGATGATGGCCCTTACTGTTCTTGACATTTGCCATCTACTAGGATTATCCCCTATTGGTACCCCTGTTGGACCAGATTATCCTGAC